ATCTGGCAGTAATCAACCTTAAATTGTGCGCATGCTTCGGCGCATCTGACTTAGTCATCTTGGGCTATCCTCTGCCGCGTCAAAACACCGAATAATGTCCTCGGTTTTGATTACAAAAAAGGTCTAATTGAGTTTTCCTATTATGATGCCAGGACATCAATGCCATATAGACGTAGTAGTTTAGTTAGTTGAAGTTTAATGTACACTTTAGTAGTGCCGCAAAGTGCATATAGTCCTGGGTGCTGATGTTATCGTTAAAAAGTGGACAACTGCTTACTTCGTCAACTACGGCGGCACTCAAACAAAGCAATAACTGGAGAATGATGTGGGTCACTCATCAATTCCCTGCCAAGTCTTTGCTCTTAGCGTAACAAAGTAATGTGTTATCGTGCTGGAAAGTGACACCGCTGGATTAATCAGCCAAAGAGGTTTTTCAGACAGAGCATCATCCTATCCACCAATCCGTGCACACCGATTTAGTGGTTGTAGTTCCAGTTTTATTGGTGTCCAAAAGTACGTGTACAGTAACGGGGTTGTAGTTTGAAGGCCGATGTTTTCGCAGGTGTTCATTATCAACCTGGTGTGAAAGGACTGTTTAAACGATCTTTTTCTTCTTGAACAAAAGTACATTCCACTATCACCTTGTTTTCATGTGTTTCAAAAGTGACTTTAATATTGGCTTTTGAGAAAACAACTGACTTGATTCACTCAAAGAGCCAGATTTCCTTTTCTCAAACTGTTTCCTCAATTCAATACTGAAAAAGTGCCAGTGTTTGGAATTATGTTTAAATTTTTATCTTATTTATTGCTTAAAACACAATGGTCCCATTAGCAGCGAACAGCACGATTCACATTGGTGCATCAGAGCAGCAGGGATTGTCTTCAAATATTCGCTTTTGCCCTACTCATTAGTTAGTTAGTGCTTTTCGTCGAGTAACCATCAGCTTAATTCGTCAAGAGCTGTTAAAATTTTTTACTAGAAATTTTGTTCCGCTGCGCATTGCAGAGATCTGAACTGTGTGTGTGTGTGTGTGTTCAAGTTAATGAATCTCAATGAATCTCGTTCCCACGCTAATGAAATATCTGTGCGGTTGGTTGACAAGTCTGATTTTCTGTGCTAAAAACAGCACCGTGGTGCAGCTTGCGCGGTTTTACGTCACCACGGCACGATCTACCGATTCAAGGCATGCACGATGCTGCTTCAATTGCAAAGCTTGTCACTAAATGTGGCCGAAAGGTCAACGAAGCGTCTATAATTACTAGGTAACTAAATTTAGAAATGCTTTTACGCATAGCGTAACACATTTTTTTAGTTTCAGCATGTGATTAGCCTTGTCTAATGGAAATGTGGGCACTATAATTAAGACATTGTCTCAGGACATCATCAGTTCTGGTCCAATTTATGCACATCCGACATCGGAAAAGGTTTTTTTTTATAAATGAATATCATCTGCTTCGAAGGAAAATAGGTGAAATGGTTTACATGAACATCAAATTAAGTAACGTGAGCATGTTGCGAGTAATAGATGTGTTTGGAACCACGCTACAAGCTCGAAAATGGTGCATTTGCATAGTCAGAAAGTGTAACTAAACTATTCCGGCATTTAGATTCGATCAAAATGTCTTTAATTGGCACCTAAACTGCTTTATAAAATACAAAAAACGTAGAAATTTACTTGTCATGCTAAAAATTGTCCATTTTCATTCCGAAATCCAAGACGGATAAAAAAAGTGCCAACTAGAGCTAACTAGACTGCTGTGGGCCCCAGCATGTGGTCCTGAACCACGCCGGGGCCACGGAATTAACCCTAGGCCTGATTACGCTTCCCTGATACCCACGATGAAGAAAAAGACCGGAGAGAACGTGGACACAACCGTTTACTTCAGAGCTCAACCACGTTGGTGTCGTTGTATCGTGTGCGGGGTTTGCACGTGTGCATTTATACCTCGGTATGAGGATACTCCAAGCTAAATATCCGTGCTAATGAGAGGGGAGTTGAGGATCTGCGCTGCTGGCGACATGCTGCGAAAAGGGGAACCCTGTGTCGGAGGCTGGAGTGACCGCATTAAGGGGTTGAATAAGCACGATTCACGATAAGACCTTTAATATCACACAACAAGGCAAAAGATTCATTCATTTTGGTTACCAGTATGAGTCAAGCCACTCAAAAAATTTAATTTATCACAGACCGTCGTACAAGTTAACAAAGGCCGATTTGTGAGACAGTAATCAGATGTCGATAAGTCTTGATCTCTTTTCCACAGCTTTACCAAAAGAATTTGAGTTTAAAAAATGGGATTTTTGTTATCCAATTGGGCAATTATGTCGGTAAGGCCTGGTGGAAAATTGCACAAAAGTACACACAAATGGAATGAATATTTCCCACACCGGGGCAACGCCTGCTTTGACTGCACCAACACATGCTGTAGTTCACACTTATGAAAAGGAGGAGCGGAAGACTGATTGCGGCGTCACCAGAAATTTCCTGATATTTTTATGCAAAAAAAAGTGTTTAAATACTTCCTTTCATACTTGCCACTTCTCCGTTTAGAGTGGATTTAGGATAGGGATTGTTAATTTCCAGAAAAACCAACCAAATTTCGTAAAAGGCAACAAATAATTGTGTTTTGGTGGAACCGTGCGGTTGATAAATGAATGCGCCACTGCTTACGAAAGATCACTACGGTCGCATAATGCTGTGTTGATGCAACAAGTAGAATTACGCATTAAGAACTCGTGCTTACGTAGATAACAAAATACCAGAGGCATAACTGCCCTGGTCGCTGTTGTAAGGCTTGCAAAGAGTGGTATTTGGTGTCTTACTGGATCGGTTTTTGTAGTGCTGGGTTAAAACAACGCAACATCGCTGGCAATTCTCTAAAAATAGGCATCATGCAGCAAAAAAAACATCAAGTAGCCAACTGGAAGGAATGAAGAAGTGTCAGTGGTTTTAGCTTGTAAGTAAGAACGAATGCGCACGGGAGACTAGAAAAAAACTATGTTTCAGTTTGGCAATTTTTATTTTTATTGTGGGGGCACGTGACCGACAGCAGTCTCGTATACAATTCGCGGCGTTATCTCGGAACATGTAGGGGGGTATTTCGGGGAGAGGGAAACTGTTTCATCACTGCTGGTGGACCAGTCTACTCTAAAACCGGGAAAAACACCTACAGATGGTCCACCACGTGACAACTTGGTCAAAACTAGTAGAAGCTGTTCTAGAAAAACTGTAGATAGTACTTATTTAATGTGTTCTTGCCCACTCTTGGGGGACCAACATATAAGCTAGCAGTTTATAAAAAAAGTATTTTACACGCCTGTCTTCACTTCTGGCTGACTAATTTTGTAAAAGATTCAGCATGAAATGGTTCGAGACGTCAGTTGATCAGTAAATTCAATGGTGCTACAATTTCATCGCATTCAAATTTACGAACACAAACTGTTTTTTTCCTCAACACTGATTCTTTGTTCTATTTTAGTGATCATTACTTTTAGATTTATCATTTTAGTCTTTAATTGCTCATTGAATTTAATTGCAGCAATTATTGTAATGGGCGCAGATGCTAACAACGACCATAATTTTCTAAATACAAACTACGTATATCATGATATTTGACATGCGGCAGGCCAATTCCACCAATCGCATCAACGTCAAGCAAACGGATTTTTTAAAAAAAGTTTGGTTGATAGTTTTCGCAGTCCCTACCAGTTTGTTACGAGTAATTTGTGTTCGCAAAGTTGAATAAAATAAATTTGCAAAACCGTAGTTTCTTTCAAGGTATCGGCGAGCAATCATGTGTGAGAAACAAGTGAAAATTAAAATTTAAACTTCGATTAAAAACGACACAGATGCCTAAAGTGGGCATTAATTCCGCACTTTAAAATAAATTTACTTCAGGAGCGTAATCAAAGTCAATTAAAATTAATTAAAATTTTATGACTTCGAAGTAAGTGTAATAAAGCAGACAATTTGGTAACTGCGCAATAATTATGTTAGAACTTTGTGGACCAAGCACCACGGATTGTGTTATGGCTTTGTTGGACGGAGTCTGTTTTCTCTTTTGAAATCTTGAATTTGAAAAGGACAAATTTTAGCACTGCGTTCATGTTGTGTCTTTAATTTTAACAAACTCGAAAGATTTGAAAGAAAGGGTTTTGCTGGCTCAAAGTGAAATCACGATCTGGCTATTTCAGGTGATAGTTCAGCTGATGCAGTACCACAACAAGACTTATCTTTTGAACATTCCAAACTGGGACTGGCGTCGCGGCGACGATGCGATCTGCGTGGCCGAGTTGAAGCTCGGCTTTCTGGCTCAGAATTGTCTAGCACCGGGCTTTTCAACGCTGCTGGCGAACCTCTTCACAATGCGGACCTACCGCAAGTCGGAGTACCAGGGCGTCAATTGGCTCAACGACTACATGGAGGGCGCCGGCATGGAGATGTACACGGAGCAGTTTTCGCCGTCCTTCGAGAAAATGAACTTCACTGAAGCCGCCGAGCTCTGCTTCAGTCGTCTCAGACTGCTGCTGATCGCAATCCAATACAAAGGCGGCATGGAGATGCATATTGCTATCAACCCAAGTGTAAGCGTTTCTTGTGTGAGATGGCGGGTAATCAGTAATAGCCGCTAATTTAATTCCTGTAATCCCCACAGGTGCATTTTCTGCTACACGACATGACATTTTACAAAAAAATGCATTCAGTTTTTGTAAATGGCAAATAACACTACAGTAGTTATTGAACTTTGTGCAAATTCCACACAATATTTATGACCTCAACACAAGTAGAAACGGTTCCTGATGTAGGTACCCACCGTGCGCTAAAATCAAAAGACATTTTAGCCAAGTTAATCGGTAAATAGGCTACCATAATGAAGCCATAACTAGAAATGAAATTGCCCCATTTCGGCTTTAATTGTAAGTGGTGCGCACGCCTCCGTTTGTGCACACATTGAGTCTACCCTCTTAAAATAAAGTCTAACCAATGATTTCTGCACGTAACGTTGATGAAAACCAAGCGTTCCCCATCAATCTGCAAATTTTTGTCAAAAGCATGGAATGAAGAGTGATCGATTGCAATTGATCACTCGTGGGACCGATTCTCATATACCAGAACACCATTCAATACTGTGAGTCGTTTAGTCATTTAACTCAAACTGATATTAACTAGACGACACCTCGGAAAGGGAATGAGCTGATTAAATTTAACAAAATTGTCTTTAATTTTCACAAACATTTAGAAGCGGCTTACCCAGGGATAGATTGTCCCAGGTACTGAATACCTTTCCCTTGCCTAATTTATCAAACCTACATCCCAACTACCTTTTAGACAGTTACGAAAATAGATTGAGAGACCGAAAATAGACTCCTTTTTTTCTGCTAACATCCTACGCCGCGCGACGGTCAACACCTGGTCAGTTTGCAAAGTTGATCATTCATGTCGAAGTGTAAAACTGCAGTTGATGGATTGTAGTGTCGTCTTGAGGTTACTGGGTGTATTTTTGCCAGACCAGCACTCCCACACCGCATTCTTCCATTGCTGGTTTTTGTAAAAAGCCAAACTGTTTTCAACGTGATATCGATTTCGAAGGTTATCGCAGCTTTTAGTGGTGACTTGGCTTGAAGATGTGAAATAACACTGCTTCATCCAAACAAAGCCATCAAACTTCGACCCTCGTAGTTCAGATTTGCAATTTTTCAATGTGGTCACTGTAGCTGTCCTGTTTTGGGCCACCGTGGCATTCCTTCATTAACCCAGATTGCGACTCGATACTCGGTGGCCCAAACAACGCCAAGATGTATCCTTGAAACGTTGCCTTTCATCTCAAGATCTCTCCCTCGTTAGTAGTGGAATGCAATGGCAATTTGAGTTAACTATTGCGTAACTTTACACGTTTTGTGTTTATTTCTATCTTTCCGAATTAAAATTTGCTAAACATCTAAAGATCAATAAAAAGCATTTCAAATATCGATGCTGATTGCCAACAAACACGATGTTTTTGTAAGGTTTCGTGAATTGAATCATTGCAATTTTGTAAGGGTAGCGGGGTGTTTTAGCTTTCCATGGTTTTTAATGACAAAATTCTTGCCTTTCACGTATTTACTCATAATAATTTCGGCCTTAAGCATTTGGTTTCATAAATGTGTGATTGATCGTCAACGAACACATGCTAGCTAAACTTGCCTGAAGCATGGTCAAGGAATCGTAATTTTCATAGTAAAAACCGGTCAGAAAGCAATTTGGGTTACTAAATATTTTTTAGCAGTAGTAGTTATATTTAAATAAACCAAGAAAGTGAGGCTAGCTACGGGTTAATTCGAGATAATGGCTTCTGTCTTCTCGATCAGGTGTCTGATTGCGTCAACATCGATGTTGATGTTCAAGAAACTAAACACCGCCCACACTGAACACATATTTTTGATGGTTTTAACATGAGGTGGGTAAAAACATGCCGTAGATGGAATAAACATACGTCATTGCTCTTGCTGCGAATGAGGATACCACGAATAAGGACGAAGACGGCGGCAAGACTGCATAAACTCCTTCCACGAGTCCAAAATTTCAAACATTTGCTGCATAAACCAAACCCAATTATTCAAAATAGAGTAAATGCGGTAGCTTTGGGAGCCTTCTCTGAACACAGAGATGTGGTGATAATATTGGGGAGAATCTAGGCCTCAAAAGCTCATGGAGGTGTGAAATGGGGTCCCGATCAGGCGCAGTGGCGTTACTGAGACATCTGTCATCGTCACGAAGTCTCCAGTCTCTGGATTTCGTAGGTTTTTAAGAGACGCTGGGAGTGCTAACTATTCCATGGCGACGTATAAACTTAAAGTCTCAGTAGTTTTTGGCAAACTATTCATCGCGATTTGGTGCCTGACTTAATGGTTGGGTTGAAGTTGCGTCAGGATCACATTAATGATGTTTGGAAACTCTCATGAGAACTATTCCTGCCTGTTAGAATCAGACAATGCCAAATTGGGCTTCATCAGATTTAATATGAGCGATATCTACCGTACAGGTGGAGTGGTGCTTTGTCCAACATCAACTGAATGACCAAACTTCTGGTGCAAGTCGGCACCAAATAATGGCCGCCAAGAATCAGCTAACTTATGAGCATGCGTCTCACTGTGTAAGGTAATTGAGTATTTTACATAGCCGTATTCGTTACTTGCTAGCACTTTCGTTTCCCAAGGGTACAATGGACAGCTTTAAGGCCCGAGTTGACCATATTGGGGTATTTACAGCCTCAACCTTGGTTGCAGCCTGGGCTAAATGGGAATTGGATCAAGTCAGTCGATAGCTTTCGCGACAACATATCCGTTGTTGGCATTGAATTAGTATGTGAATACTTCGAGAACTGAGGCATTATCGTTTAATTGGATAAATCATGCTTGAGCGTCGGAACTGCACGAATATGTTGTTCTTTGGATTGGAATTCACAGCTGCTGGGTGACTTTTTGTTTACCTGAAGGAAGGTTGTAAAACCTTCAAATAAAACCATCAATCATAGTCACTGAATGCCACTTGCCCTACCTTACAATCTGCCGGTAATCAGCTCGTAACAACCCGAGAACATAGACTAGACGAACAGTTTGCTAGATTCAGGCTAGCTAAGTGTGCCATTGCGTGTTACAACATTCGAACAAACTTCAATCATGCGCATTTGTAGAATACCTGAGCCCTAATAGGAAAAAGACTGGTACAACAGACAAGGCTTTATTGACCAATCACAAGCCAGAACCACACGTCAGGCGCCTTCCATCCGAGTCCACCACGCTGGCCACGCCGTTCATTATATACTGCTCCTCATTCGTGTCTTCTCTGGTTGGCTGCCTATCTTCCTCGCATGCCGTTGGAAC